TGGTTGCTCTAAGAATCAAATAACATTATTTCTGTGGAAGCATTTAATCCATAAATACTGTAAAATCATCAAAGGCATTTAAGAACATGTATGTTATAGTTATAACACCGTACATCTTGCAGAATAATCCAGAGATCAGGAAATCCTTAACAGGAGGAGGAGGTGATCATCTGGCTAGGCTGGTTATCCTCTCATCTGTTACTGACTTGTTGGATGACCTCTCTATTGGAGAGACCATCTTCTGGGGACATCAGTGTCTCACAGAGGTATAAGAAAAGTTAAGTAACGTTGATGAAGTTTCCTGAGATTTTCAAAGTTCTGCCTCACACCAAAATATGTTAGTTGTCCCTGAAGCCACAGATGTTTTGTAAATGCAGCCTGTCCCCCAGTAGGCAGTCCCTCCCCCCAGTCAGCCTCACAGTCCAAGCTGGTCACCAGGATTGCACCCTCAGAACTGGAGGAAGGCTGGCAGGCAGTCCCCTAGCCTTATCTCAGGGGTTTAGGCCTCCCTTTATCTACACCTCTCTGGTAGAGAGCAGACTCTTCAGCCAGTGAAAGCTCTGAGTGACTGTCTGAGCGCCCTTCCATTCTTGCTGCTGAACCTTTCCCATTTTCTGTTCCCACCTTGATGTTCTCCATTCAGGCACTCCTTCTGCGTTCTTCGCCAGAGGCCACCTTCCCCTATCCATACTCTCCTCTTCCTTCCCTGCCATCTGCCCTCTTCCCAAACTCCCAGTCTTAGTTTTCTGGTCCCTCAGTGGACTCATCTGAAGAGGAGGGTGTTGTGCTTAGAGCAGATGATGGAGAGGCCAAGAGAATGGGAGAGACAGGTGGGAACATCGCTTCCGAAAAACATCCCAGTAACAGCATTCACTGTGCTTTCTGCAAGCCAGGAGAAGCCTGGTTAGAATGAGAAAGAATCAGCAGAATAAACGGGTTCTTGCTCAGCCCCTACTACAGGAGTGACTATTTAAAATTGAGGTGTCTCGCCCAGTCGCATATCTTTTACTTGAACTTTGGGCAGATCCTCTGTATCTATGAACCTAACAGGATGTCTCTTCCTTTTTTTCTTCCTCACTTGTCAGTCTTGGTAGAGTGTCAGTGCTGGTGCACAAGAAGGAGTTTAAAAGAGGCTCTTTGGAGAACAGGCATCAAAAACTGGAGAAAAGTATATGTGTTTGTCACTCCCCCCACACCACTGGAATCGTAAAGGACACTGCCACCCCCTCGGTTTCTCCCCTTGCTGTGCGGTTTCTTGGGCTCCAGAGCTCAGTTGTCACCTGCTCAGAACCCCTCTGTCAAAGCTACTTACTGACATTTTATTCATGGTATCACTTCTTTGATTAGCATATGTAATTGAGAGCAGACCATACCCTTAACTCTGAATCCTATAGCTGCAACGTAATCACTTGCTTTATTGATAAGCTGAAAGTTTTGTGTTGTTTTTTTTAAATCCTGGGTTGGTTTCCCCATGTAATGCAAGTTATTTCTCAATTGATTTCATTTATCATCAGTTCCTTTCTACTGAAAAGAACGGTTGATTTTTTTTTTCCCTTCAAATGATCATATACTCTGTGCTAAGTGCTTTATCTCTTTAATTTTCAAAATGCCTTCACAAGTCAGGTACTTCTGTATTATTCTCAAGTTACAGATAAGGAAACTGAGGCTTATAGAGGTTAAGTAACATACCCAAGCCACTCAGCCAAGGAAATGGAATTCATATCTTACTCCCATATCTGTATAGCCCAAAATGGAGCAGTTTAAAGTGAAGGGACTTATATGAGCTTCTCCCTTATGTTATAATTCTAGTGTCTGCTTTGGACTTTGTGTCTCTTCCTAACGCATCCAAGGACTTGCCATTCCTGGCCAGAGGCTCAGACCTGAAAAGCCATCTACTCCCACTCATCTTAACTCTTCATTTCTCCACATTGAAAGCAACAGTTAGCAAACCTCCTCTGTCTCATGTATAATGTTGAAAGCCCTCTTAGGGTCCCTATAAACATTATGCAGGAAAAGAACAAGGAAGAAAAACACATTTCTACTGAGGGATACTGTTTCAAATCCGCACACATATATAAATGAAAGCTGTGGCTGCCTGATTAATCTGAAAATAAGCCCCATTTAGTAAGACAGTTCTTGAAATACCAATGTTCTACCAACACAGCGCCTTAATAATTATAGAGAGCGTTTTCCTTTAAGGAGCTCCCAAGTGCTTTGCAAACATTTTTCCTCATTAACTATCATACCATTTTCTGTGGCAGGGAAGGGAACAGGGTATTTTGTCCTATTTAAAATGTGGGACTGCTAATGCAGTGAGTGATGGAAGCAGTCTGCCCTCAGGTCATGTGCTGACAAGGCCTAGACTAGAGTCCTCAGGGGTTGTGGGTCAGGATGGGCAGAAGGCCACTAAGTCTGCAAAGGGCTACGGCAAGGGCTTGGTCCAGCTCCTCACTTTCAGAAGGGGAAATGAACTCAGGGAGACTTGGAAAAGACCAGGGTCACACAGATAATTAGCAGCTGAACCAATACTACGTGCGTGCAAACAACATACAGATGTATGCTACGAAGGGAAAGATAACTACTGTGAAGAATCAATTTATAGTCAGATTAGAAGGTTGTGAAAGCAAAAAGCCTTCAGAGTGACCTTGCCTAGAGGAAAAACACACTGTAAAAAGGTGAAAGTTTCAAGCAGCGAGAGCATTTTAACATAAAGTTTCAACTTTCTAGCAGCCAAAATAGCATCTGGAACTTAAGAAGGCAAGTTGCCCATTAAAGGTGACAGGTGAATACATTTTAAAAGATAGTTGACCAGCCCATTGTAGCCTCTATAAAGTGTACTCAAGGCACATGGATGGCAAAGACCAGCCCGAGTTCAAGCATGCTTACAGCTGTTCCAACTAAAAATAACATGCATGACTGTCTCTCTTGGGGAATCTCTCATTTCCAAAGAATGTATCTACATAAACACCATGCATAGCCTAAATGCATCATTTGGGAATGAGGCTTCCCCAGATTCGCCTGTTTGCCCAAAAGTGAACTCCTCTTCTAACCTGTGATCCTACTGACCATACTGTCCCATCAATGAGAATGAAAGGAAAGAAATCAGAGAAGAGTCTAGAAGAGAGGGAGCTAAGCCAAACACGTTTGTGAATAACTAAGGGAAAGAGAGTTCAAAGACCAATGACCTTGGTTAAGAAATTTGTGGAGGGATTCCTGAACAAAACAGCCATTTCTTACCATCCCGCCCTTCAAAACATATCCTTTAAGTTTACAAACACAATGAAAAAGGTTTCTGATGAGATAAAGTTTCATAAAACAGATTCTGAACATAAAGTGCTAACACTGGGCCTGACCCAGATGGAGCACCGAATGCATGCTGACTGTTTTCATTGCCATTATTATTGTGACACCTCAAACCTCTTCTGCTTCATAATGGGAAAAATGAAAACCCAGTCAAGGCCCATATTTTAATTGGAAGTTAACTCCGTTTTAAGAAATAGATTTCCTACCCCGATACACAATCCAGATGTTGAACAATGACCCTAGAGAGTTTCAAAGGCTTTGAGCTTTACAGTGGGTTATGGAAGAGTACAGAAAAGGACTTTCTTCTCCAAGGTGGGTGCCTCCACTAGGCAATCAGTAATGAGGTGGGACAGATGGAAACACCCTAAAGCATTTCATCTTACCTGTCAAGGGCAAAGCTGAGAACTAACAACACCAACAAAAACAAGGTTCTGTTTATCCGAAGGGTTGTCACAAGCCCATGGACATTACTTATAGAGGAATACTTCATGTGGCCAGTTGGTAACAATATTTTTATTTACCTTAGTCTCTTTCACAAGCTTGAATGTTTGGTTTCTAAGCCAACAGCAAACCAAAGCAGTAAACTGAGGAGAAAGAAGAGTTTCAGCCAACAGACTGAGAACAAAGAAAGAGAAAACTATTTTTTATATTGACCCAAGAGTTCAAAAATGCGTATGGAACCATTTAATTGGGGTTGGGGGGTGGGGAGAGGATAGTTTTATAATAAGAATACCATGCAAGTATTCCCACACCATTCTTGGTGGTCTGCAAAGTGATTTCATATGGATTTATGTCAACACCAGCACAGTGAGGTAAGAAGGACCGTATACCTCAGAGGCATCTGGAGATCTGTCAGAGTTCCATGTCGAGGGTCGGAGCCCAGATTTGAACAGGACCATTTGACTCTGAGATCATTGTGTTGTCCACCACCTAATCAACCTCCACACCAGACAAGGCTAGTCCGCAGCTCAGGGCACTCAAGACAGAATAGCCAATTATCTCTAACGTTACATTTCAGGAAGATTTCTGTCAAAAATAAATAAAATTGAAAGCGTAGCTCTTCAGAGCAACTTGCTCCTAAGTTGGCCAGTATTTTCCAGACGTATCACGGCAAAGTGCCTTTACTAGATAGAATCCTGGAAATAGAAACCATCCCCAAAGAGCCAGGCTATGTAACCACAATCCTTAGTTTCTAAAGATTCTAAAGAACCCGAATGCTTCGAAGATCCTTCTTCTCTCTGATTTCTTACATGGGTTTGATAAAATTAATGGGAAACACAAGGTTAAATCCACACATGAGTGATGACACGGAAAGGGACCCCCTAAATGTAGCCCTCCCTTTTCTCCACAGACTGATCTTTGAAAACCTGTGGTGGGGGGTGTCTTGTAGCTTTCCAAGAGAGCCATTTTCTGGCATGAGGAGGTAGAAGATTAGCTTGTTCGGGCATCACCCAAAAGCAAGGTTTCTCAGCACACGAGAGGCCAGGAAGGACTGACTGAATCTTTCTAGTCGAGGGTGAACCAACCAGATTTTTTTTTTTTTTAATTTTCCTGTTTGTGTGCGTGTGTGTGTGCATGTTTTTTTTTTGTTTTGTTTTGGTTTGGTTTTTTTTCCCGTCTTGTTTCCCTGTCTCTCATTCTCCCTCCCTGGCTATGTCCCGCTCTGTTCCGCTTGCTGTCTCTTCCCCCACCGACAGGTGAGAAGCCCCACCAATGCAGCATCTGTTGGCGCTCCTTCTCCTTAAAAGATTACCTTATCAAGCACATGGTGACACACACGGGAGTGAGGGCGTACCAGTGTAGCATCTGCAACAAGCGCTTCACCCAGAAGAGCTCTCTCAACGTGCACATGCGCCTCCATCGCGGGGAGAAGTCCTACGAGTGCTACATCTGCAAAAAGAAGTTCTCCCACAAGACCCTGCTGGAGCGGCACGTGGCCCTGCACAGTGCCAGCAACGGGACCCCTCCCGCGGGGACACCGCCCGGCGCCCGCGCTGGCCCCCCGGGGGTGGTGGCCTGCACGGAGGGGACCACGTACGTCTGCTCCGTCTGTCCCGCCAAGTTTGACCAAATCGAGCAGTTCAACGACCACATGAGGATGCACGTGTCTGACGGATAAGTAGTACCTTTCTCTCTTTCTTACGAACAAAACGACAGAAAAGAAACAAACAAAAAAAAGCTATGGCACTAGAATTTAAGAAATGTTTTGGTTTCGTTTTTATTTTCTGTTTTTGTTTTTGTTTCGTTTCATTTTGTACTACATGAAGAACTGTTTTTGCCTGCTGGTACATTACATTTCCGGAGGCTCGGGTGAATGAGAGTTTTCCCAGCCTCCCTCGGATGGTGGCCTTAAGGCCTGGTAGTGCTTCAGGAGGTCCACTGGTTGGATCTCTCGCTACTGGCCTCTAAATACAACCCTTCTTTACAAAAAAAAACAAAACAAAAAACAGAAAACAAAAAACAAAAAAAAACAAAAAATCTTAAAAAAAAAAGTAAAAAAAATTTTTTTTTCACTTGTGAAGAGCACTACAAAAATATATAACAAAATCTAAAAGGCCTACTGTCTTTAAGTACACCGCTTGCAGTGTTTCAGTGGACATTTTCGCAATTCTGGCCGCTTGGACTTCACAGTAACCAGTTAAAACTGTGGAATATCCCTTCTGGTTGAAAACCCAGAGGAAAGGCCCTGCTGTTTTCCACCTACCACATTGTCTGATTTCATAAAAGGGCTGCGGGGGGGGGTTGGGAAGGGCAGTGGGTCCGGTGGTGTGGGGAAGGCAAGTGGCAGGCTTCTCCCCCAGATTCTGCCCGCGTCCACGCACCCCGGCCCACCTCCTCCGTGTCCCCCCTTTCGGCAGAAGCCAGGAAGACTTGGACAAGCATCAAGCAACAGTGGCTATCGTATTTATTCAGTGTCTTCGCTGAGCCACAGCCTCAGCACAATCAAGAGGGACTTTCATGAAAGGCAGGAATGCAGATAAAACAAAGATATCAGAGGTTTGCACCTATGTTTCTAGGTACAAGAGAAGGATTATTTCCCACAATCTTTGCAAAAAACAAAAACAAAAAAAAAAGTGTCAGGATATATTCTTGTGGAAGAGAAAAAGAAAGAGAAATGGAGGGTGGGGGGATAATAAAAAGTTCTTGAGGCTTTTTTAATTCAAATTTTATAGAGGGGCAAAAGTGACGTTTACCAGATAGAATGCTGATTTTTTTAATATATTTACAACAGTATTTGTGTAAAAAAAAAAACAAAAAAAAAGTGAGATTGTTAAAAGTAATTTTCTTTTTCGTTTTGGTTTTGCATACACTGCCACCAATCCCTTCTCTTTTATTTTATTTCACACACATATATATATTTTTTGGTAAGTCAAGACTGTTAAGGTTAGCGATACTGCTTCCAGATAGAAAGAATCAAAGGCAATTAAAGTTATATTTGAAAGAGAGGAAGGATATTTTCTTCATTTTTTTTTTTAAATTTTTCTTAATTTTTATTATTTTAAGTATTGCCTGGGTTGATGAGGGCCCCTGTGGCCAGCCCATCCCTGCTGTAATTTGAACTGCTGCTTTGTATTTTGATATGTAGTTCTTTGACTTTTAGCAAGCTTAAGTTGCTCCACTGACTTTTTTTTTTTTTTTTCAACTGATCCATCTAGAATTCTGTTCTTTTTCATGGGAGGACTTTATCTTTCAGAAACAGATTTCTTGCTTCTCTAAAAGTTCATTGAGGTCTTACGATTCCAGACTTTCTCTTGACTTGACTTCTTTTCTTGAATGAAACACTAGTAGTCTAGAGGTCGTGACAAATGGGTTTTCCTTTCGTGGGCAGCCAGGAGGAGGAGTTCATGCCTCCTCACAGCTGCAGAGAGCAGAAGCCTGGTATAGATCAGGATGCCTTGATGCCAAAATTACTTTCTTCCTTTCAAATACCACCTTCTGACTACTGCCACCATGGTTGAGAGGGCTAAGTAGGATGATCCTCCTTTAGAGGATATATTAACCCTTGCTTTCTGGAAAGGTTTTAAGGAAATTAACAAAAATTTCTCGGATACCAAAATCCATCATTCAGAAGGCCACTAGTTCATTGCATCATCCTAGATGCCACTCTCTCTTCCTAGTTGGGATTTCTCTCCTCGGTCCTAATCAAAGTATTGTAACAGGGATTTTTCCATTCTAGACAGTGTCCAGAAGGGACTGCAACTCAAATATGAGAATTCTTAAACCTCACAAAAACTCCAAAGGTGATTTTATTGCTGGGCATGGATTAATACTCTTAAGGGGGAAAAGGAAACCTTTAAACAAAGCAGAAACACCGAACTGTAATTTTAAAAAAGAAGCAAAGACAGAATTTTAATTTCAAAATTACTGTGCATTTTAATTTTTCTGTCAGCAACTTATTTGCAAAAACTGTGCAACAAATGAGGAGAAATCTTCCAAGGGAAGCAACTCGATAGTAACTAAATTGGTTTTACTCATATATTTTAGATATTGGTTAACTTGGATCTTTTCCACAAGTTCTTGGTGATGTTTGGTAGGGTTAGTGCAACTAGAGTGCCTGTGGGTTTTATCTGGTCCTCTGATCCTTAATTCAGTAAATATTTTGCCAGCAGTTTAATGTAGACTTGGATGGTTAACTGATGATTGGGTATCGCTCATTGTGATTTCTAAGAGGAGTCCTGTCGAGAACTATGTGTCCAAAATTGACTTGTTTTAAAAGTTAGTGGGAACCAGCTTCAAAATGAAGAAAAGTCCACTTTTCTCTTGCTAATTCTGCTTTTTAAAATAGCAGTGTTGTTAGGACTTTACTATTTCCACTTACTACCAACAGAGGGAGCATTAGTTAATTAACCATGTCCTGGGACTGTTTTGGTATCTTGAAAGACAAGTCATTCAACCCATGATATAAAAAAGAAAAAACTGACATTAAGGAAAAAAGTTGTTTAATATAGAGGGAAAATGGCATAAAATCCCTCAGCATATATTACAAATGAAGAAGGCCAAAAGCCACTTTAAAATATTTTCAAATTTTTGACGGTAGCTGACTTAAGATTGTGTCCTTATCCCAGCCTTCACAAAGTAAGGCAGAATTTACAGTACCTCTAGAAAAGCTGATCTTGGGTGCCATTTTGGGCCGAATTTTGGTATCTGCTTCTCAAATCAGAGGGAGATCTATTTGCCTTAATGTTGATTTGCCATGTGAAAAGTGAAGCAATTGGGTTAAAATCAAATCCACATTTTGTTATAGAACATATAGAGGAAAAAAATTCCAGTTGGGTTTGAAACACTAATATTCATCCTTTCCCTTCAAATGAAATATCTCTTTTTTAAAAATGTTGGAGAACTCCCAGAGAATTCTTGGTGAGGTGATGCAATCTTTATAACCACATGGATTCTCCAGGTTTGCATAGCAGTAGACTTTGTCTTACCGTATGTCTATTCCTCTCAAACATTCATAGTCTAAAATAGTTGATAGACTTGTTCTCTGGAGAGAGGGAGCAGTTAGACTGCAGTGAAAGGTCTAATCTGGGGAGTAGTGAACTTGCTGTGGGGTCATTACTGTATTTCTGACCTCCTGAAAGGGTGACTTTCCCAACTGATATAAACCAGACTAGACCTATTTCAGAAGGATAGAGATGCTTTTAGATTGCCAATCCTTACTTTTAAATTCAATAATTACCAACATTTTAGGAAATGGGGAAACATATTTTGCTTCAAGAATAGAGGATGAACATGAATCCTTTTATTTTTTAGTTTCAAATCCAACAATCTTACATTTAGAACTTCATGCTAGGATGCTATGAGAGTGCTAAAAAAAATTTTTTTTTCAGTAGTCAGGGGAAAAAATAGATAAAATGGAAGCAAATGTTCCAGATTTAAGACCTCTTAAGATGAATACAGGGAACAAGAACTGGTTTGGAAAAGAACCTTTTTTTTTTTTTAGTAATTTATGATTTAAAAGTAGGTTAGCTGAACAAGAGAAAGGAAAAAAAGTCAAAGGGGAATATTTATGTCAACTCATTTAGATACAGTTTATGAAAAATAAAATTTCCCAGCTCTGAAAACATTGGTAGCATCTTAGCGTGGTAGGCAACTTTCCCCCTATTACTACAATAAATGCCAATATTTGTACCAAAAAAAAAAACCCTAAGTGGCAAAATATGGCCCCCAAAAAGGAAAGAATTGGAACGGATGGATCTGATACAAATCTGCATGGGAAAATGTTAAGAAGCCAGGAAAAAATAGTTTGAAATGGAAGTCTCAATATCAAAACGGTTTTTACTATATATTTTAATTGAGTTGTAAACTTTAGCTCCTAATAATAGTTTATAGACTTTTTCCTGCCCAAACTCCTAACTCTCTGAAACTGTCTGTGCCATGAGTAGATGTGACAGATAACTTCCTTCTTGTGTTCCAGCTCTAGTGCATTCCTTCTTCATAGGCATCTTGGAGGTCACAGTAGCTCCCAGGCTTGGAAGAAAAGACTTGGATTTGCTTTGTTGAAAAGTCATGGGTTTTATTTTGTATCACCCCAATATTCTTTAAGGACCAAGAAAACCCTTTGGAACCCATGAACAGTTAGAATTTGTACAGTCTGATAGGAGAAGAAAAAAGATTTCCTTGGCTATGTGTGTTTCAAGTAAGTCCTAATGCCTTGACCTACATGTACCTCCATCATACAAGCATATCAACAGTGTGTGCCCAGCCCTTACATACCCCAAATCTGTTTTCCCTCAGCAGTTCCCTCAAATGAGGCGTGCTCCTTTTAAAATCCCTCAGGTCCCCAACAGAACATAATAAAGGTTCATGTTGCTTCCTAGATGTGCTTCCTCCGTAATGCTCCCAACAACTGTTGCCTTTAGGAAAGGGAGCAGTGAGCTAGATCTGGCCAGGATTCATACTCATCATGCCCATTCAGGAGCCTTCCTCTGTTGTTATGGAAGATGTTACTTAATTAGCTGAGGCTGGGAGAAGAGGGTATGTGATTCTGTGGAGAAGGTATCAGATAACCAAATCAGGTCTGCTTCTGCTATGCAAAAAGAAACAAAACGGAAGGTACAACGTAAGAGCAGACACAACCTGAGATGCCCTTGGGCTTTGGGAGAAGGGAGGGTGCCCTTTTGCTGCGACCTGACTCTTAAAAGAAATCTCCTGAAAGAATTCTTTAATTTAGTAATGAGTTGAAGTCCAGGGTAATGGAAGCCGTGGGGAAGAGAACAAAAGGACCGCGAAGTGTATTCAGCACCCAATAATGCGAAACCAAAAAACATCCAATCACAACACTAGGAAGTTTGGCAAGAAGTATTTAGAGAAATCTCTGGGCTTTCCATGGGTAGTGGGGTCGACAGACTTTCTTTTGAGTGATTTCTGGCTCTGAGAAACCTCTTTACTCACTAGAAAAGAACTTTCTTTAAATGGCC